CCATTTGATTGAGCACCTTACTAAACCATGTATTAAGGTAGGAGTCAAAGTGAAGGATAACTTTCTTGCAGTGTGCCTTTTTCATCTTTCCTTTGCCAATGGTAGCTCCCAGGTAAGAAATTGGCAGCTTCCCTTCTCTCATTCCAAGTGTCCTCTCCATATTGCTCTTGATTGCATGATTAACCTTAGCTCCTGTGTAAAAGTGGCTTTTGCTGAGATTAATTTGATGTCCAGATGCTGCCAGAAACATATTCAAGAGTCCCTTGAATTTTAATAAATTCCTGCAATGGCCATTAAGAAAAAAAATGATATCATCTGCATAAGCTAAGTGTGAAGGAGGTGGAGTTCTCCCCGTATTGAAAGCTTTGAGAAATCCTTCAGCAACTTTAGCTTTGATCATTCTGCTTAAACCTTGACTGTCAAGGATGAAGAGCAAGGGAGAGAGGGGGTCCCCCTGTTTGATACCCCTCTCCATTTTGAAGAAGCCCTGAGAGACACCATTAATGAGAATAGAGAAGTGTGTGGCCTTAAGTGTTGCCAGGAGGAGATGACAAGAAGTATGGCTGAACCCAAAGGAAAGAAGAATATGTTCAAGGTATTTCCAGGAGAGTCTATCAAAAGCCTTGGATAAATCAACCTTAATAGCTACATTGGCACTCCCTCCGCTATTATCCAAACAATGAATCATTTCCTGAGCAAATAAGATGTTCTCATCCACCCCCTTGCCTGCCTGGAATCCAGTTTGTTCAGGGCTGATGAGTTTAGGCAGTAGGTCCCTCAATCTGTTGGATAGAATCTTGGTGTTAATTTTGGAGAGGAAGTTTGAGAGAGAGATAGGTCTATAGTCCCCCAAACTTTTAGGGTTGTCCTCCTTGGGAATCAAGGTAAGTAGTGTGGCTCCATAGGATTTAGGGACAGGTAGGCACAAGAAGAATTCCTGGCTAGCCCTAACCACTTCTTGCTGGATGATGTGCCAAAATGTTTTAAAGAAGACTCCATTATAACCGTCCGGGCCAGAAGCACCTTGTTCATTTAAGTCCCAAATTCCTCTCCTAACTTCCTCCCCTTGAGGTAGTGTACAGATCATCTTGTTATCCTCTTCATTTATAATTTTAGGGATGAAGTTAAAGATGTGTGAGTCGTCAGAGACAGAGTCTTCTTTGTACAATTTGGAGAAGAAGTTGATTGCATGAGTAGCTATTTCAGTTTTGTCATCCAAGATCTCCCCCTCATCAGTTTAGAGGAAATTTGGAGCCGTAACCTTTGCCCCTTAACCAAATTGTGGAAGAATTTTGAGCTAGCATCACCTTCCTTAATCCATTTGACACCTGCCTTTTGCTGCCAGAATCCTGATTCTCGTTTAGTAAGAAAAAGTAACTCAACATTTGCCTTGTTAGCAGCCACAAGAGAGTCGGGTGAGGGATGAGATTCATAAAAGGTTTGTGTTGTCTATATATATATATATATATATATATATATATATATATATATATATATATATATATATATATATATATATATATATATATATATATATATATATATATATATATATATATATATAGGTTCAGGTGAGATTGCAATCTAATGAAAGAAATAAGAATGAATCTAGTGCATTAGATTAGGAGATCTAAGGGTTAGGATTGCATCAAAATTAGGTGCACTAAGATGGTTTGAAAATGCATCATGTCGAGATGCACCATAGTCCTTTAAAAATGCACTATCTCGAAATTTGAGTGCTGAATGCAATCTGATCCGCACGATGCATCAGATCCAAAGGCTAGATTTTATTCTTATTTCTTTCACCAAGGTGCATTCTCACTTGAACCAGCCCATATATATATATATATATATATATATATATATATATATATATATATATATATATATATATATATATATATATATATATATATATATATATATATATACACAAAAGATTTTATTAAACATAAAAGGAGAGTACAACCAAGTGTGGTGGTCCTAAACCCCAAACCAGAGGACCCAAATAAAACAAAGCCTAACAGCCAATTGACAAAATAAACAAAATAAGAAAAACTACAAGTAGCAAAGTAATCCAGCTGCCAGTGGTATCAACCATAGCATCCGCTAGCCACGTGATGCTGGGCATCAAATTTTGTTGTGTTGCTATTGGAAACCCTGCAGTTTAATCTTCCAGAAAGACCCATTGCAAAAACAATCAAATGAGGATGGACAAAGGAATATCCAAAAACTCATAATAGAAAATTCCATCCAGCAAGATCCCAAGAGATAAGTGGCAATGGTTCCCTCTTGCCTATTCTTTCACCGAAGATCAGTGGCCAGAAGGGATTCCATCAATAATCAGAGAACAACAATTGGATGTCCAATAGCAGATGCACACTAGCCTTCAACTCTTGTTCCTATTGAGAGTAAAGCAGATCCACCAAATCTTGAGTTAAGAAACTGCAATCAAGAGGTTACTTTCAAAAGAAAACCATTGCCAAGACTACCAATCCCATAAACCCTAGGGAAGATTTCAACTAAAGTGGATGACCAAAACAAACAAATAGTAAAACCAAATGGCCAAGATAATCAAATAGACCCATGCCCACAGTGAAATCCTGAATCAATTCTGATCACCACACAAGTGAGCTAGAACAACATCCATGTCTTCATTCGCATAAGCAAGGTAGACCGGGTACCTTGCTCTTGCAAATGTAGCAGCATCAATTGTTAGAAAAAGGCCCAACGCTAGAGGGGGGTGAATAGCGTTTAAAACAAAATTGCTGGAAATTAAAAATGAGAGCGTTAAATTAAAGAGCGTAAGGAAGGAGCACACCGAATTTTATCCTGGTTCACCACAACGTGTGGCTAATCTAGCCTCCCGAGAGACTCTCTTGAGCTACACTAACTCCGTTAAGCTTAAGGGTGCTTAACAAACCGATACAACTTGAGAACCCGAGTAACACGAGCCTCAACGCCTTTGCTCGGAGATACCACACTCCAAGACTTCTCACGAAGGAACAAAGAACTTCCTTCGAGTTTACAACAAGGGAACAACCTCCCTTAAAGTGTATGAAAACACTTAAACACTCAGGAATAAAACTCTCACAAAGAGTAGATATGAGTGAACTAGTAAACGCTTAAGAACACGACAATTTCTTCAAGAATTGGCTCTCAAATAGCTAAGAAAAATAGGAATGCTTATGCAATGAAAGAGTATTGAAATGTTGAAGAATTGTGTGTAAAATGAGAGGATTTGGGTGCCATTTTATAGCCCAAAATGGGATAAATCCGTTGCTAGAGTTTCCAACAGGATGAAGACAAATTTTTCAGAGTTGCAGGGTGATAATCGATTGTCTAACCATGATAATCGATTATTAAAAGATTCCCTGTCCAAAAATTTAAAATTCTATCCGTTGGAGGACAACGGTAACCCAGATAATCGATTGTCAACTAGTGATAATCGATTATTGATCCTCTTAGAAGATTCTGGGTTTTGGCTGCAAAGGCTGATAATCGATTGTTGCATAAGTAACAATCGATTACTGAGCGCTTCAGAACTTTGAAGTTCAAAGCTGCAGAGGCTGATAGTCGATTGTCACTAAGGTGATAATCGATTATCACCCAGCTAAAGTCTAGCCAGCTAAAACCTGTTTTGAAAAACCGAGGTCCAAAAACGAAGTGTTCCCAAAAGTAAAAACCAGGTTTGAAAAACATTGTATATGGTATAAAATAGTGAAACCAAGACTTGTTTGGTAAAAACCAAGTCTCCAAGGTCGTAAATCACGTGCGTATGGTTTTGACTGTTTTTCACGTGTTAGACCGATTGACCAAGATACAAAAGTGGTTTTTATAAAATAATTATTTGGGAACCTTTTAAAAATGCTCAGAGGTAAAAACGAGGTTTAAAACATTGAAAACCACCGAGTTGGTTTGGGCGCCAAAAACCAAATGCCGAACCTCGAAAGCCGTACGCCGATGCCGAACGCCGAACGCCGAACACCGACCTAGGTGGTTTAGGTTCCGAGCAAGGACCAGAGATTTTAACAACAAAAAAAAATTTATCAAAAATGTTTATTTTGATGCACACAAAACATTTTATGATTTTGTAAAATAATTTTGACTCTTTGAGAACCGAGACTTGAATTGATTGTCGGTTTTGATCACAAAAGACCGACTCGACTAAGTCTTCAATTCTTGATCTTGTCCTTGAGTCTTTTTGGTCTTGTTCCATGTCATTCTTCACACCTTGAGTTATTCAAAGAAACTCTTCACATCCACGGCGGGTTGGCAATTACCAAAACCTGTCAGAAATGAACACGACTTTAGTTTTCCGTACAAAGTGTGTTACAACATCAATATACTCAAAGTTTTTCATAGCCTCCTATGTAACCCTAATGACTTCCCCCGAGTAACTAAGAATCTGTCCTTTGTTTAAAGCATCCAGGAACTGCTTGTTAGCAATTGATTTCTTGAAGAGAGTAATGTTATCCCGAAGAACGTGGTAAAATATCTTCAGGCAGTCCTGTGCTTCTGTAGATTTTTCAGCTCTGTTTCCATAGTGTTATCTATAAGGAGCCTATTTTCAAGATGTTGCTGTGTTCTTCATCCATCCTACCACCAGAAGCTATTCCACGGTAACATCTCCATCCCTCATCCTTATGACTTGTAACAGACCCAGTACCTTCTCGGGCAGTTTCTAGCTGTGGCAGTGGCAATCGAATGTTTATGCCATCTGTGTTTTTGAGCAACTTAGATAAACCCTTTCCAAAAAGCTTTAGCCCCTCTAAGGAATAACCGGCAGGAATGATAATTTGTGAGGGCGAAACCCCTATATTTGAGCATAAACGAGCAAACTGACCAAAACAATTTGAATCCCAAGAAACTTTTGCAAAAAAATCTCCATCATATCTAGAAATTTCCCAAGTTTCGATTGAGAAATCTCGTCTGCTAATAGTATCAACCAACCAGTGTGCAATAGCCGTAGAGATGGTAAGATTCTTTTATATATACATACATACACACACACACACACACATATATATATATATATGTATGTATGTATGTATGTATGTATGTATGTATATATATATATATATTTATCGAATAAACGGAAGGGTTACATCAGCCGTAATGGCTCCCTTAACGAGAGGGGGAAGAGTTGTGAAAGAAATACAAGATGAAATAAAGTTGCTGTTGTTGCTCCATCTTGCTAAAGTATGTGCTCCCAAATTGCCCTCTCGAAAAATGTGACGAATTGAGGTGCCATGTTGGGACGCGTAAGAAAGACGGTTCCAAAGTTTGTGGTTTATACCCGGGTTTTTGTTTTTAAGAATCCCCTTCACGGTGGTCTCCGAGTCGGTGTGGGCCCAAATTTTATCTGAGAAGTGTTTGGCCCAGTTGATGCCAAGTAATAAGCCCAATGCCTCTCCTTCAAGAATTGTTGGTGCGCATAGTTTCCATGTGCTTGCTGCAATAAAAGTTCCTCGTCCGCAGCGAAGAATTGAGCCGCCGATCATGCTATTGTTGAGGAAGGAGATGTCTGTTGAGAGATGAAGGTAGCCTTCCGGAGGTGCTATCCATCTGTGGATTTTGGGATAACGAGAGGATGGTTGAATGAGCAGAATTTCTTGCGGGAGCCTCCAGGATGCGTACTTCTGTAATTTTTTTGGAGCTCTGCTTAGAATCCAGGTTTGAAGTTGACCAACACATTCCTCTATTATCTTCCTGTTGCTCCAGATTGAGTTGTTGTGAATTCTTCTATTTCTTTCTTTCCAAATGTTGAATAGAATGATGCCGGGAAGGATGCCTTTTAGCCAGTCAAAGAGATTATCTGTTTTGAAGTTCGTCCACCAGAGTTGAAGGTATGCATTAGTTTCGTGGGTGGTTTGCCATGGTATTTTAAAAATCCATTCAAAGTATTTCCAAATTTCTCTTGAGTAAGTGCACTGAATTAGTGTGTGGTATGCTGAGTCTTCATTGTTGTAGCAAAGTTGGCACATTGAGGGGAGGGAGTTTCTACCAAATTTTGTAAGGGTGGAAGGGAATGGGAGTAGGTTGAGGTATAGCCTCCATTGAAAGAAGGCCACTTTAGGGATTTGCTTTGAACTCCAATTGATCTGTAATGGCAAGATTGTTTCCCCTTCCTCTTCTTGCTGAATAATGTTGAAAGCTTCCTTGAAGCTTAGATCTTGGATGGGCTGAGTAGTCCACTGCAAGTATTCCTCTCTATCTGCAAAAAAGTGGTTAGTAGCAATATGATGTATGGAACAGATTCTTTTCCATATTGTGGAATCAATGATTTGGGGTTGGAAATTGTTCTCTCTAGGATATCTAGCTCTCATGAATTTACTCCACAAAGTGTCATTGGCATGGAATGTCCACCAAAGTTTGAGGCTATAGGCCTCCTGCATATTGCTCAAAGACCTGACCCCCAGACCTCCTTTATCTTCTGAAACACAGATTTTGTCCCAGGAAACCCAGTGATAGTTGTCACTGGTTTTGTTGTCTCCCCACTGGAAAGTACACATTTTTTTGTTAAGAAGGTTTAGGACAGATTTAGGGGTTTTGTTGATGGCTATAGTGTGTAGGGGGATGGAGTTAAGAACATGTTTGATGAGGATTAGCCTTCCACTATGAGAGAGTTGTCTTCTGTACCACCCCTTAAGTTTTTTGTCAAAGTGTTCAATGAGGTCCTTATAGTAAGGGCTCCTGTTGATCCCTCTGAAGATTTGAACCCCTAGGTACTTGAAAGGTATTTGGCCCTTATGCATGCCAAGAATGTGTGAGAACCTGGTTATTTTGAGGGGGGGAGTTTTGGGAGGGGGGTAAAAGCTGCTTTTGTCCAGATTGATCCTTTGCCCTGATGTTTCCTCATAGGAGTCTAGAAATTTCCTAAACTTTAGGAGGTTAGAGGAGGCTCCATTAAGGAAAATGATGAGATCATCAGCAAAGGCTAGGTGGGAAATTGGAAGAAAGTGCCTGCCCATTCTGAAATGCTGGATGTAGTTACTGTTCATGAGGGTGTTTAGTGTTCTGGTGAAGCCTTCAGAGGCTATGATGAAAAGTAGAGGGGATAAAGGGTCTCCCTGTTTGAGTCCTCTGGTGGGGGAGAAGGGTTTAGTGGCTTTACCATTAATGTTGATTGCAATTCTGGTGTTGGATATAATATTGTTGATGAGCATGATGAACTTGTGACTGAAACCAAAAGCCTCCAAAATGTCCTTTAGGTATTTCCAAAAGACTCTATCAAAAGCCTTGGACATGTCAAGTTTAATTGCTAGATTGCCTCCTCTACACTTGGTTGACAGTCCATGAAACATTTCTTGAGTAATCAGAATCTGATCGTGGATAATCCTGCCCTTAACAAAACCCCCTTGTTCAGGGCTGATGATTTTGGGAAGGATAGTGGAGAGTCTGTTGACCAGGATCTTGGAGAAGGTTTTGCTGACAAAGTTGGAGAGGCAAATGGGTCTGTAGTCTGAGAAGCTTGAGGCATTGTCTTTTTTAGGGATGAGAATAAGGTTGGAGGTAAAGAGGGGTTTGGGGGGAGTAATGCCTAGGAAGAATTCCTGACAAGCTTTCCAAACATCTTCTTTAATGATGTCCCAACAGCTTCTAAAAAAATGACCTGTGAAACCATCTGGTTCAGGGGAACTGGCTGGATTGAGGCCCCACACAGCTTCTTTCACCTCTTCCATTGAAGGGAGGGAGGTGAGGAGGTTGTTGTCCTCAGGGATTAGGATTGAAGGGATGTTAGAGATGAAGTCACTGTGGGGATGAGTAGGTTCAGCAGTGAACAAGTTGTGAAAGAAGTGGAGGGCTTCATCAGAGATGTCCTTCCAGGAGGTTAACCAGGAATTGTCCCTCCCTTTGATGCTAGTAATGGACTGATGCATTCTTCTGTGTTTCAAAAATGCATGGAAAAATTTAGTGTTGAGGTCTCCTTCTTTGACCCACTTTAGGTTAGCCTTCTGTTTCCAGTAGGAGTATTCCCTTGCCACAAACTTGTTCAATTCTGATCTTGCTTGTTGCAAGAGGATGTTGTTGCCATCAGAGGGGTCTAGGGAGAATATGTTTTCTGCTTCTGCAAGGAGATTTTCATGGAGTTCTCTGTCTTTGAAAATGTTCCCAAAGGTGGATTTGTTCCAATGTTGCAGGACAGTTCTGATAGAATTAAGTTTATTGGACAGCCCCCTCATTCCCCCACCTTCATATGGCCCCCAGTTTTGAAGGATTAGGGGTAGAAAGGTGTTGTGGGAGGACCAGCAGTTAAGGAATTTGAAGGGAGATGGCCCAATGAAGTTTGTAGAATGGATTTTAGGCAAGATGGGGGAGTGATCACTGTTACCTCTAGGGAGATGAGAGGAATTGATCTGAAGGTTAAGATCTTGGATATTGGAATTGTAGAAAATTCTATCTATCCTTCTCCATACTTTACCAAGGCTTCTGTTCCCAAACCAAGTATAAGGAGATCCAGAGAAGGGGGGATCAATCAGTCCCACTTTAGGTTAGCCTTCTGTTTCCAGTAGGAGTAATACTAGCAATGCAGGGGGAGCTTCTTCCTTTATGATGGCTAATAGACTCTTAAGCCTGAATGTGTGTGGGAAAAACCTTTTGGACTTGGCATTGGTGGCCCGGCATCTCTGTCCCCTTAAGCAACAGATTCCGAAAGGAAACTAAATGTGTATGGAGCAGAGTTCAATTGGAAGAGCAAACCCCTGTTTTGGGCCGTACTCAATCCCGAAACTCCCACATTTTTTTTAGTTTATCAGTTCTCTTTCTCTCGGGTGAGGTCCATGGGATACCTTGATTATCTAAGTCCCGGGCTATCTGGAATGGGCCTGGGGTAGCTTGACCAAAAATCTTGTTACATGGGAGTTGGAGAATTGTAGCTTGAGGGTTGAAAAGGGGCAGTTTAGTAACAGTAAGGACAATTGGGACTTTGGCCTCATTCAAAAAGGATTGTGGGATCACCTTCTCATGAAAAAGAAGTCAGCCACTCTAGATTCAATTTAAACAGTCAGCATTCCTAAGGAAACTACATCATGCGATTTTGGTGCAATTTGAGTTGGGAAGGTTGAAAATTCTACATTAGTTCATTTGGTCGGACTTTAGAGTAAGAGAAAGGAGGAAT